AGTTATTACAGTTCACCGTAAATGATGGTATTACTCTCTTTCATCATCTGTCCTGATAGTGGCCAATAATCCAGAAGTTATTTTTCTCTTCTATTACTTTTAAAGACAGGATGATTTGTTTTCCTGTGAATCAGAAGACAACCATACTAAAGGTGACAGCACTCTCAATTTGTCTGATAAATTCAAAGCAGTGGGACTACTTTCAGCAAAAGGAAGCCAACTTTTCTAGCTGAGTAGTTGACAACTGCTTCTGAGAAAAATGAGTCTGTGAATGGTGGGGGGTTATTGTTTCTGGATAATTTAAATCAAATCTAATATCTGAGGTGGTGATAACAAACCACAGTGGCCTCTCTTTATCTTTTTGAGTGTTAATTATAATCTAACTATTTCCATTGAAAGTTACAAGTTACTTCTGAACATTGTTCCCTAGTTGTATAAAGATAAATGGTCTTGGATGACCGTGTGTGAGCTGGGACCCCGAGGTGTTTCTCCAATCTTAGCGTCTCTGAGAGTATCCACAGCGGAGGAGGGGGGGAGGAATAAAAAGGCTGTTAATGAATAACTTCAACTATTCATCTGCACCACCCCACCTGTCTCTCTCTCCCTCTCTCTCTGTCTCAGCAGGAGTTAGTTGATAATGAGGCGTGGTGTTGTCAGAATCACAGTCCATGCCCATCCATCCAAGCTGCTTAGTAAGGGGCCTGGTACACCACTGTCTGGTACGCGTACACACACACATACACACACAAGGTCATGAGGAGACAGATGTCGGGGTACGCACATGCACTTGTGCATATGTACATGTTGCACAAATGCAGCACACAGACTGAAAAATATGTGAGATTAGACAAATACTTGAACGCACACATACTGTACATACAGGTTCACACACTGTATGCATTTCCCATACACATATACACACAGTAAGAGTTATGAGAGTACAAAATCTTGTCAGTACTGCTGTTGGCCTTTACTTGTCAGATCAGGCGGTGACATTATCAACATTATGTGCAGATACAGTAGGTATGAGTATGTATCATCTACTATTTCTGCTCCTCTCTACGTCCAAATTATCTCTTCCCCTTCTCTTTTCTTCGTCCCACCAACCCCCTGATCTCCTTTGACCTATTTCTTCCTTTTTTCCCCCATTTATCTCTCTCTCATCGCTTTATGATGTGCCTCCCTAGTCCTTGTCCCTATCTCTCAGCATATTATAATCTCTCCTTTCCTCTCTTTCTTTCTTTCAGGAGGGTGAAGGGTAAGTGAAGATCGTTGGGCCCCAGTGGAGAGGCCCAGACATTGTGTGTGTGTGTGTGTGTGTGTGTGTGTGTGTGTGTGTGTGTGTGTGTGAGTGCGTGTGTTTGTGTGTTTGTGTGCACCCCATCATTGCTCATCTCTGGCAGCCTCGCTGGCTGTTCCCCGAGCTACAAGCTACAGAATAAATACACTTTAAATCACCACACACACGCAGGCACGCAGACACACACACACGCACGCACACACACGAAGCCTGCTCCCTGGCAGCACTTTGCTGCTGCTAAATGAGGGGTCTGGGGAGTTGTGCCGGCAAAGCCTTTGGCTACTCTCTCGCTCTCCTCCTCTCTCCGTGCACATGAGTCAAACACACACTGGAAAAATAAGTCGGAGTTATGATGGGCAGACTATAATATGCCTGGATATTATTATGTTAAATAGATGGGATTCTACTTACTGAACGTCACCAAACCAGGAACATAAAGGCACTCTGGGGACACGGAGACTTTTTCCAGAAAGACACGTATTAGCTGAATGGTCAGTCAAGACCATCTGCTCTTTTCATGAACTAGCTTGTCTGATTGCATCATGGTCAAAAATAGAAAACCCGTATTCAAACCTTTTATTAAAATCATCTTTTGTGTTGAATATTTGAATTCCATAAAACATGGGTGACCTGCTCAAAAGATCCCTGTGGAGAATCAAACCAGGTGCTTCACAGTTACATGGTACTGGTATTCAAACCCACTAATATGCCCCATCCTCCTTGATGTCACCTCTTACACAGCCTTGGAGGGATTTTCCTATTTTTGTGACAAAACAATTACAAAAAAAGTAATATTTATAATCCACTGCATTGACTCGCTAAAGTATTTTTGGCCCAGCCCACCACTCCTGACATACCACATCTTATGACCTTATCTAACAGTGTGCAAAGCTGATTCAGACACTGAATTGTTAAAGGTAGATACTGAATATTGTCTGTTCATCATACTGAGAGGCAGGTAAGACAGGACTGGTTAAATGATGCCATGGAAACATGTCAAATAGTTGGTGAGGAAATGAGGAGTTTCAGATTCATGCTTAAAAAACAGACCTCACTGTAGAACCTACCCAAGTCAAATCAAGTGGACAAATCCCACTCTCCATGATATCCAGTTTTTAAAGCCACCTCTACTATAAACCCAAAAGTATGTAGACAGAGATATCTTTGACAGCCCTGTTTTAACAGTTTGGGCTACACTACCCTCAGTTACAGATGATACAATTATATCTATACAGTTCTGTGCTTCCAGTGTTGTGGCAGCAGTACTTATTTCGACATGTAAAGGGTTTTCCCAGTTTGGCATGGAAGAACCTGACTGGGCTTTGCAGATCCTTGACCTCAACCCAATGGACCCTCAACCCCTTTGGATGAACTGTAATACTGACTGCATGACAAGTCTTATCACCAAACATCAGTAGCAGACTTCACTAATGCTTTTGTGGCTGAATGGGGACAAATGTTGTGGGAAGAATTTCTAGAAGAGCAGAGGCTAAGTTTCAACGGTCATGAGATGGGTGTCCACATTCTTTTGGCTATGTAGGGCTGCAAAGCATTTATGTGAAATGTTAACACGTGTAAACTAATTTTTTGTAAATTATGTGAGAGTGAAATTCAAAAGCAGATGAAAGTCATTGGATTTTTTTCCACGTCTCACTTTTGTGTGATTTTAGAATTGTCACCACCTCCACATTCAGTGGGCTTCTGTATTACTCTCCATCTTCTCTGCAGTGGGTGTGGGTGCAGGTGGGGACAGCCCTCCCCTGCTCTCCCTGACTCTCCACTGTTTCTCTTTCTCTCCATGCCCATTCAACTGCATATTTTAAACCAGTGGAGTGTGTGGAGAGGGAATGAAACTGTGTGTTTCATCATGGTTTGAGACAACTAAATACAGGGTGGCCAGTGTTGATGCTTTGCCCACTCAGTGCTCTGGACTTGGACACAGAGCACCTAACTGAAAAGTCTGCAGCCACTAGAGGATTAGTTTTAGCACTGTTTTATAGCCAGGAGCTTAAAGCTGTCTTATGGTGGTGAAATAATAATGACGTTAAACTGTGATCTGTCTACTCGTTCTTAAAATATGTATATACTCCGACTGTGCCAACTGATAAATGAAACAATGGAGACTGACAAAGTGGGATTATGCTGCACACAGGAATACACATGCACACACAGACTATATATATCCCTGACCCCAGGCTGTCAGTGCATCTTGTCCTCATCCAGCTCTCTGCCCTTCCCACAATGTAACATCAACTAGGTTAACTGTAGCTAATACAGCACAGCACTGCTGCCCTCAATGTCTCCATGTATATGCATCTATCTCTCTACCTATCGATCTCTCCTTCCTTGTTAGTCTGAAGCAGTCTTAGGTGGTGCAAGGGTTTATAATTTTTCATACCATGGAGACCCAGTGATCCTGCAGGTTACAACATAACAATCTGAAGTACAAGTCACAATTCATGTGCGATAGTGAATTGGGACCAAAATCCACTACTTACAGCGTGGTGCCTTGCCAATACCCAAAAAGTACAGAACACAGCCAGATGTTTACTTGACAGGACTGACAACAACAACAGAAGGAGCGACCCTTTGAGAATAAATGAAGCTTGGAATAGAAAATAAAAGAACAAACCACATCAATGAGCAATAGCAATTCACTTCCACCACTCTTGATCATGCTGTCTTCCTCAGTTCCATGCGTCATCATCATCATCATCATCATCATCATCATCATCATCATCATCATCATCATTCCATGAACTCACAAATATAACTAAAGGTGGAGCATTGCTGCGAAACAAACACAATGTCTTTTGTGCCTTTTTAAATTGCAACAGAGACACTGGTCCTTTCAGACAGAATTTACCTTGGACTTAAATCAGAAGAAAAGAATGAGTAATCGACAGCCTGTTGAGTGTTGCTTCTCTGTGGAAGAAATTTCAGAGAAAAACGTCCAGTGTTTTTCAAGCTTTTACTAAATGTTTTTCTATGAGAGAACTGAATCCCATAGACATGACACTGCAGTAACTCGAGGCTTCATATTAGAGTGATGTTAGAAAATCTGCATTTATCTTTTAAAACTGAATCCTGTCAAGCAACAAATAAATATTACTTTTCTTATTTAATGTTTTGTTATATTACAACATTTTACAAAATACAAATGTGAGCGAGACCTGCATTTATAGAAGTAAAGGAAAAACAAAGTAATTCAGCATCTAATAATGCCTAAAACTACTTTAGTATGCAGATAGAATAAGTGTGAACTAAGCACACACTCCAACAGCATCATGGAGCGAGAATTATGAAAGTGATTCATTTTCAGTTCCACCACTCTTTGGAAGGACCTTCCTGTTGCTTTTTCTTTAGTTGCCCTTTCTGCTTCAGCCTTTGTCTTTGAGGCATAGAGGCTATTTTCCCATTTATAAAAAAGAAAAGAAAAAAGAAAGCCAGAAAATAAAATCAATACGTCCGTCTTCTTCTCATTCTCTACTTTCTTAAAATCCTCCAAAACAAACCCTGCGGTGTTTAGCCAGACTCAGGACAGCTGTCATTGTCAGGAGGTTAAGTTATTAATAAACCTGATGTAGTGATGTTTAAAACCTCGGGCAGGGACGTTTTTTCTCTGACTATGCTCAATCATGTAGTTTGGCATAAGAAGTGAAAGCTACAATGGAAAGAGATTAAAAAAGAAAGAATTTACCTGAGGCGTTTTTCAGGTAGCCGTTGGAATCCGCTGTGGTGTACATGACATAGGGACCGGGCTGGTTAACACCAAAAGGCTGTAAAAAAAAAACAAAAAAAAAACACACACACACACACACACACACCAGCACAAATCAAAAAAACTGACAAATGTTGACATCTTACAAATACCTCTTCACATCAGCCGTCTGTCAGCGAGGGTGAAAGAGGACAGCGAGGAAAAAAACAGGGCAGGGTGACAGAAAAACACAGAAAGAAGAGCAAGAGTGGGCAGACAGAGAGACAGGCGTGTTGTCACCACAGTGACCTTGAGCACTTTTGTTTAGTTTTATTTTCACTAGGTGACACAGCAAATGTTTGACTTAGCTGGCTTGAATCTCACAGAGCATAAATGAGTGTGACGGCTGCGTGTCTGCGTGGGCGGACACAGAGAGGTTGTCTTATCTCTTCATTATGAAAGGATGTCAACTAATGAAGAGATCTGTTGAGCCATCCTTCGCTTTAAATCAGCTAATCATGAGACGGTTACGCACGAAAACATACACACTGCAACAGAGACTTGGCCCTTTATGCTGTGACACTCAGCAGTCGGGTGAGAGAGGAATAGAAATGAGGTCAAAAAAAAAGAAACGGAGAGAGAGAGAGAGAGAGAGAGAGAGAGAGAGAGAGAGAGAGAGGGATGGGAAAGCCACAGAGGAGCAGACTAAGAAAGACAGCGGAAGAGAGGTGTGACTAAGAAGAAAAGGAGCGAGAGAGTGAAATGAAAAGATAGACGGGGCTTGATGGATGGGAGAGGAGAGGAGTAGAAACAGCCACGAGCTCCACTTGTCTACTATACCTTTCAGTTAGCGGTTGGAAGAGTAGACAGACAGAAAACCAAAACAACTCTAATACCAGCAGCCTCTTGTTGATGCCAAAGCTAATGTGTTTTGCAAAAGGCTTTTTCGCTGCTGAAAGGTTGTATAAAGAGTGATGCTATTGGCTGTTTTATTTCTGTCAGACTCCTCCACCCGCCTACGCACAAGCATCTGACATGAGCTCTTCAGGATGAATAACAGGTGTTTAAAGCTGGAAGAGCAGAGCCGAGTCACATGACTTGGACTGGAGTCAGACTCGAGTCGTGAATCCGATGACTTCAGACTCGACTTGACAAAATCAAAAAAGACTTGCGACTCGACTTCCACTTTAACACCAGTGACTCATGACTTCACTTGGACTTGGGTCTTTTCATACCTTACACCAAACCCAAGGATTAAAGAGCAGTGTTTCCCATACATTGATTTATTTGTGGCGGCCCGACACATTTACAGGCATATATTGATTTTATCATTTATGGTCGCACTGCTTCTTTGTCCGCCCCTCTGCTCCCTATGGCGCTGAATACTCACACACACATGGAGCACACAGCAGAGCAGAGTGGCTGCAGTGTTTAGACAATGAACCAGGTGACGTGAATTAACAACAACTATGCTTGTTACTGTGAGAGCAATAAAAAGCAAGAGGCCAATTAGCACTTTACAAACCACCTGTTCAACAAATATGTCGAAAAGTGACACTTTCAACTATTTTGTCACCGGTCTCCTGTCATTTCTTTTAACTGCAGCAAGCTGGTTATGCTAATAGTGAACTGTTACGAAGGAGCTAAAATGAAAGCTGTCATGTAGTGCAGTAACTGCAGGCAGTGAATCACACCGGCAGCAGAGGGAGGGGGACAGAGGACGGACTGATACTGACTGATGTTCTTCATTCTTTCTGAACTTCACTCAGTATTTTGATATCAGGTGTATTGTTTATTTTACTACCATTTTGAATTTCTTTCCAGCGAGATATTATTGAGTTTATAGTGACTTTGCTGCTGTGAACATTACTGTTGCTGCTCCAGAAACAGTATTTAATTTTGTTTATAATATAAATCAATTCTCTCTCTTTTTTTTTTTTGTTGGCATTTTTTTCTTTTTTTCAGCTTTCCTTGCCTTTATTTGACAGTCAACAGTCAAGAGAGAGAGAGAGAGAGCGTAAGACATGCAACAAGGGCTCACGGCTGGAATCAAACCCCGGATGTGTGTGTGCTGGGACCTTTTAGCCACCAGAGCCAAGACTTGAGACTTGTGACCTGCAAAACATTGACTTGGTCCAACCTCTGATCAAATGTCACTGCTTAATAAAATGATGGCTATATTTAACTCCAGAAGTTCACTGTATATGAGCTCATGGTTTATTTTTCCTGCAAAACATTATATCCCATTCAGACCGACACAGTGACGCCAGTCAAACCCATGCAGAGGGTCTGTCTGAATGGGTTAACGTAGGCCTCCTTCAGGACCCTTCTCCTAGCAGGTTACTACTAGAAATGGAAATTGATTCAAAGATGCTGATTTTAAAACATCATTTAACCTACTTGTCAGACAGCAAGGGGCAGAGAGAGTCAACTTTCATCTGGTAATTACTGGATGTAATTCATTGTACCTCTCAGTTTTAATCAGAGAGGTGTACGAACTGTTCTGTAGACTGCAGTCTCACATGCTAACAATGAGCAGTGACAGTTGTCTCTTATGAAAGGGTCCAATGCCGGTTGAACACAAGTTGAGTACACCTGTGTCATGCATGCATAAGCTGTCTGAAGGGATATTATTCTGTAATGAAAAGATAAGATAAGGTCATGGAGAGGAACACATTTTATTATAGGGTACTTAGCTAATTTAAACTCTATACCCTTATACCTGCAAAATGAATAAGGCCGGTAAGGTGGTGTAATCACTTTATCTGATCTGGTTTTCAATAGTCTTCAATGTGCTGATTTGATATTGGAGAATTTCTTCAAAAGGAGTAATGTCATCTTCTGCTGTTTTCTTCATCAAGATTTTCTTCTTGAGACAAATTCTACAGCTACATGAGAAACTTGAGGCACAGCTAGGACCTCTGTGAAAGGCCTAACTCAACCTTGCAGAGGTTTACATATGAAACTAATAAGTGCTGTCTGGGTCTGTCATGCCAGTGGATATCTCATAAACTTCCTAAATCTGAGCAGAGTGTAAACTAGGAACAGATACCTGTAAAATTATTAGTATTACCTATCTATCAGCAGAGAGTATACGGTAAAGGCGTAGCTGAATAAAAACAAGCCATGAGCAACAAAATCTCAAACTATATTTACTAAGGACAGGAGTTGGAAATCAGGCACATCAGGAATTTATTTATTTAATTATCTTATTCAAAGATTCAGATATTGATATTTCAGTTGAAAATGTCATTTATCGGAAAATGTATTGGAAAATGCCAACCACTAGGAAGAGGATAAAGTACAGCATGGGTGCATGGGCCACTGACTTATATAATGAAGGACTCTAACTTGTCCCCATTAACAAAGAGGGGCAAGGGGAGGAGTATGAGCAGGTGAAAATCAGGTAATGGTGTACTGCATAAAATCAAACCCCTCGACGTTTTGGCCGGCAATGGTGGTAGTTTAGACTATCTCTCTTTCTGCTAAAAAAGTGCTGAGTACAGAGTCTGGAGGAGGATAAAGATTTATGCATGTAAGGATAAGTGCACCCAGACACACACCTGCTCAGACTGTTCAGCCGTCAGGACAGATAAGAAACTATTTTACCACACAATACATATTTTGTGCCGTCATTAGAAAAATGGACAAACCAAAAGACAGATTTCTTACCTTCACTTCTTCAGGGCAGTCATTGGAGCAGAGGCCGCTGAGCACTGAGAAAGACAAAGATGCCAGAGTCAGACATGACACTCAGCATGTGTTAAATGTCCAGCACAATGACACACGCTGCTGTGGAACAATCCATGGTGGTGCCGTTTCTGTGCCCTGAGGGCCACTGTATCAACATGTATCAAACTTCAAGCAATCAAACTCACACAGAGAAATAAACTTTGCTTACACAACGACTCAAATTCCACTGTTTCTGACAGCTCGAACATAAAAAATCCAATTCATATTAACTGTGCTTGAGTGTTACCTAATGTTTGCATTGTATTTCATAGCATTTAATCATCTTTTCTGTTTGTTAGGTGGACGTTGACAAGCCAAAAAAAAAAAAAATCAAAGAAGGGAGGAAAGGAGGGAGGGTTATAAATAAATTGCTAGCTGTGAGAAACATAAAAAATAAATGTGCAAACTATTAACACTGCACGTGTGCGTGTACGTGCACACTAAGTATTTCACTTATTTGTCTGTACAAGCGAAGCGAGGACAAAATCCGCTGAATTGCTAATAAGTCATTAGGGAAGTGACTTTATTAGCATACTAATAGGGTTCTGGGTCTAGGTTGCTTTGATTTGCCTGATGGAGTCACGCTGAAGCCCAATACTGTGTTAATAAGGTCTGCACCCAGTGCTGTAGTAAACAGCAGCTAAACTCAGTGCACCTACTCAAAGCAACATCACAGTGGCCCTGACTCCATTGTATAGACAGTGGGAAGGTAAAGCCTCAGGACTTGTTCATCTCTAACTTTCAACACACATTAATTACAAACATCCATCTAAACAAAAGTGAGCAGTGTAACTATTTTACAAAGACTTTTCAATTATGTAAAGGCTGTTTAAAATGACCTGTTGTACAGTACACTTGTGGAAAAATGGCAGGTGAAATCTTCTCTCTTACATGATCTCTGCTCTACTAGTCACAATTTAATATTCTCCATAGCTCCCTAATAGTATTTGTCCACATTTAACCATTTAATCATCACCATGGTGCCTCTACTCTTTTTTTCCACACAGTTAAGGATATTTATAGAACTGTGAATCACACCATTCACAAATTGTAACTACTCATGAAAGCTTAAATACAGTGGGTCTAAAGGGCGATGCGGTGTTTTCTGAAGCACTTCTGGAGCGTCGTCTCACAGAGCAAATGCAACATCTTTTAGACGCTAGTGTCAGCACTCAATCCATTCTGTTTTTATTTTTTACAGTTTTTCACTCTCTTTCTTTCTTTCCTCTTGCTCACGTTGTGATGTGAAGGGAGCCATTCGAATCACACAAACCATCAACTTTCTCCACGTTGTGCTCTTCTGATCTACAGCAATCAGTCAAAAACTCCAGTTTCACTGTGAGTTCTCAAACTTCACTACGGGCAACTCAAGCTTAGATTAGCTATGACAAAAAAATACATGAATCAAATGGAAAATAGATTTAAATTATGCAATTTTTCATTCCTGTATACCTTTATAAGAAATAATTTAGGATATAGGATGGCACAGTTTGTCCATTGGCTGGTCTACCACTTGAGAGACTTAAATACTTCAACAGCTATTGGATAGTCTACATATGAAAGACATTGGTAATCACCTGATTTTTTTTTTTTTTTGATGCCACCATGGGGTTGACATTTGTAGTTTTGACTGAGATGTCTGGACAACTACTGACCAAACTATCTAGACATTCACTTGAATTTCAACAACTGAAGTTGTTGTTGCCTTTTGGCTGCTGCCGTCAGGGGTCGCCACAGCAGAACACCATCCACATAGTTCATCTGGCATAGGTTTTTATGCTGGATGCCCTTCCTGATGCAACCCTTGGTTCGAGGGGCCTTCCCATTAACCTGAGCTATACTTTGCATCTAATGCTAATTGGAAAATGTTAGCATGCTAACACCCTAAACTAAGATGGTGAATGCGGTAAACATTATACCTGCTAAACACCAATTGCACCAAATCCTGTATACAAAATGCAGTAGTGGTCCAGGATTGATGACTGCATTGCACCATTTTCTTGTACTCCATGTGGTAGCTCTTCTGCCATCACTTTGTGTGCATAAACAAGAGGATTTTTTTTTTGAAGCTTTGATTTAAAAAGAAATGGCGTATTTGTGGCAAAAGCATATTGCTGCTTTGAAGTTCACAAGCCTATTAAGTATATGCCTGAAGTGGAATTCAGATGGAGCCCCCATCAAAGACAAACATGTATTTCTTGACCCTTACTGACCACACTGCATGTCAGTTGCTGCTTGTTTTGTTGCCATTTAACATGGCTTTTGAAAGTTTATTCAGTAATCACATGGGTATTGTCAGTGGTTGTTTGCACCACAAAATGTTTTCAAGTCAAGGATATCAAAACAGGGCTGCAGTGACAACAGACCATTCATGATTTATTGACAACATAAAAACTTCAATTATGTCTTTGTACATTCACTTACTATGGAAACATGTGAGAGAGTAATCTGGATCCTTTAAGATGCAGCTAGTTCCTAAATTTGTTTCTGGCTATTGTAGAGACCAAGAAGCTGAGTAAAGTTGAATGAAGCTGAATGACACTAAAAAAAATCATTAGGCATTTGCCTCTGAAAAGATAAAAGCCTTTAGGAGCCCAGAGGAAGTCTGACCTGCTACACCAAAGTGGTCAGAAACAGCCCTGCATGTAATTATCCCACTCATCAACTCTCAACAAATACCGCATCATCACATCACAGGCTTTGGACCAAAGTCTTCCATGAAGGACACAGATGATCAATAAATCATAGGGATCAGATTATTCATCACTTGTTTGAATTTCATGCTGTTTGAGGTCAGGCTACCGGCACCACTGTCACTGACACTGTAAATCAATAACACAGAGGGATTAGACTGCCATTTGTTAGGAGTCGGTCTCATTTGGGATTATCTGGAAAGAGAACATTGCACATAGGACAAAGGCTGCAGCAGGACTCAGAGCCACCACCAATCTCACTGCAAACTCCCCCGTCTCCTCTGCTGCAAGTTTACTTTACTATTCTTTGCATTTCATTTTGCTGCATAGAAAATGTTTTCGGAGATTACAGAGCAACTATCTTCACTTCCGCAGTTTTCTCTCTTTATGTCTCTGTGGTTACCAGGTCAGTTGAGAAACCAGAGATGTGTAAAAATGCACTTCCCAGAGGATTCGCTTCTTCTCTGTGGGCTTCAGCACAAACTGTGAACTTGTTAAAATACTATACATCCCTGATGTGAAATGTATCCTCAATTTATGAAACACCACAGAGAAAGTGGAAGATGTCAGTGCGTGAAAGGACCAACGGGAACAAACAATGTCACGCAGCTTGATTACAAATAAACCGTATGCCAGGAAGTGATTGTCAGGATTGTCTCTTCTATTGGGAAACAGAGGAGAGGAGTTTCCTGCAAATTTAAATGAACAAATTTGAGAGGAATTGATTTGCACAGCAATCTGTCTTGGTGACACAAAAAAACCCCCACCAGATTTTTGTGACATTTAAATTTCCGGTGTAGATGTCACAAAGCTAAATCACACTTGGCATCCCATGGAAGTAACACTGTAAGAGCACCCTTCTGTCATGCCAAACTTTCTGGCTCCTTTTTAGTCAAATATGAAACACCTAATAAATTCCAAATTAAAACCCAAAATGGAGCCACGTTTAGTCAAATGTCTTCACAAATCCACTAGATACTTTTGAATGCTCAGTATGTGAAGCAATGGAAACATTTATAAATTTAATTGTGAGAGCAGGACACACACATGCTCCATTAAGAATTTCATGACATGAATTCATTGATGCATAAAAAGAAAGAGAGAGAAAAAGATGGACATGAATGCAGAAGCCCTTCACAACTCAATGGGCACGGCGTCGCTCCAGGAAGTAGATGAGTTTGTGTCAGAGTGGGTATTTGTGTGTGTGTGCGCGTGTGCGTGTGTGTCTAGGCAAGGCTGTCACAAAACTTATAAGAGAGAGGAAACTCAAATCTAGTGTTTCTTCTAGACCGCTTTATTCTTCATACTTCAATCTCTGGTTGACGTGTAACAAGTATGTAACAGCTCCTCAATGGCTAAAACAAGATCCCTGGAATAGCTCTCACACATTCTGTGGACGACAGATTCTGTCTCTTGCCAATACAAGAGTCTCACTCACACACACACACACGCACACACGCACACATGTACACCCAGACAGTACAGCTTATACAGCCTCTAGTAGATTGAGCTAGCCTATTTTCTGGTGTAATATTAAGACTGATGGCAGCTCTTTCGCAGGACTAACCTAATCAAGTGGAGGACGAACTGGTCTGTGTACTCTGTTTGGGTCTTTGTGTGTGTGTGTGTGTGTGTGTGTGTGTGTGTGTGTGTGTGTGTGTATTTGTGTTTCCATCAACGGAGTCAGCCAGCGAGCAGCATTTCATCAACAGTGCAAAAGTGTCTACTGTTTCTTTTTTCCTTTTTGGTTGGACCGCAACAGCGGGGCCAACCCTATAAACGGGTCTGTCGCTGACTGACTGACTCACTGAGTGATCAAATTACACAATTGGCCAACTGAGTGCTGTGTGTGTCTGTCTGTCTGAGTGATAACTTTACACCATTGTTTGGCTGGCAGGTCATTATTATTTCAAAATGATTTGGCGTTAACAAGCAGTGCTGACAACTTTGTCACCAGATTAACCATTTAGTCACTTTTTTTTTCCCAAAAATGCTTAGCAACAACTCTAGCATCTTTTTGGACAAACCCTAGCTACTTTCCATAGAAGACAGTTGCCAGTATTGCCAGGTTGTCTCTGAATGTTCATTTTACAAGTAAATGTACCTGAAATCACAGCACTGTGATTGTCTTTATTGATGTTAATCGAGGTTATAAAATCAGGATTTTAACAGTGAAGAGCAGCTGCTTAGAAACGGCTGTATACTTATATATATGTAAATATACGAGTGAAACACTGCATAACCATACGGATACATTCTCCTGCTGAGAAACTAAAATCCCCAAAGAAGGG